AGTAGTAGAGTAGTAGTAGTAGTAGTATAGTAGTAGTAGTAGTAGTAGTAGTAGTAAGTAGTAGTAGTAGTAGTAGTAGTAGTAGTAGTAGTAGTAGTAGTAGTAGTAGTAGTAGTAGTAGTAGTAGTAGTAGTAGTAGTAGTAGTAGTAGTAGTAGTAGTAGTAGTAGAGTAGTAGTAGTAGTAGTAGTAGTAGTAGTAGTAGTAGTCGTAGTAGTAGTAGTAGTAGTAGTAGTAGTAGTAGTAGTAGTAGTAGTAGTAGTAGTAGTAGTAGTAGTAGTAGTAGTAGTAGTAGTAGTAGTAGTAGTAGTAGTAGTAGTAGTAGTCGTAGTTGTAGTAGTAGTAGTAGTAGTAGTAGTAGTAGTAGTAGTAGTCGTCGGAGTAGTAGTAGTAGTAGTAGTAGTAGTAGTAGTAGTACCAGTCGTAGTAGTAGTAGTAGTAGTAGTAGTAGTAGTAGTAGTAGTAGTAGTACTAGTTGTTGTGGTTGTAGTCGTACTATTCGTAGGTGTCGCTGTAGCTGTCAATTTCCAAAGAGATTTCATGACAGCTTAACACACTGGGTCCAAGTCAGGTTTTGTCGCATGTGGCAGTTCACTGAACCCTCAGTGGCTCATCTTTGCAGCCCAGGGTTGTCCTAAGACAAGACGGTTACGCAAGGCGTGCCTGGACTTGGTCAAGTCCAGGGGGCTGCTGGCGTGATTTGGTCGCGTTGGCCTGGACTTCGTCGAGTTGGCCGGGCTTGGACCCACTACCAAGGCCGCCCAACCCCTTCCGGCCCGTCGCGCCTGCGCGCGCCAGCGGCGACGGCAGCCCTTGGCGCGCGCCGCCGCCCCCCCCGCCCCCCTCGCGCGGCGCCCCCCGGTTTCCGGGGGCACGCGCGGGGCACAGGCAGCCCGCGCCGGCCCGCCGCCGCACCCGGGAGGAGGGGGGTGACAACAGGGGCAGCTTCCGGCGGGGGGGCAGGCTCAGAGGGTCGGGTTTTCCCCGCGGTTCGAGGGTGAAAGTTTTCGGCTTCGAGGCTCTCTGGCGTGTGCGTCGGTTCTCGGCCGTTCTCCAGCCTCGGGGGGTGCTCTTCAGCGGCTGCGCCTCGCCGAGGGCGTTCTGGGGACGCCCGGATCGTCCCGAACGGCCGCCGGAGGGCCGAGGCATGGCCCGGAAACCATCGGCGACGGGGATTGGCTCATGGGGGATGCATCGACCTCCAGTTGCCCATGCATCGCCGATGGTGGCTCGATGGGCCCATCCCGCCAAGAACCATGCGGATTCGCCCTCGGCGGCCTATCGCCAATGCATCTGCCATGTATCGCCGATGCTACCAGAGCGCTCTCAGGCTGTGATTGCGCAATGTTTCCGCCTAGCTCTGGGACGTGCCTTGCGACTTCTAGATTCGAGCTTCGGTGGCTACGGTTCGCTCATTCATGCATGCCTGCACACCTGCAGATTCATGCAAATCATGTGCATACACGAGCTGCAGCGGTCGATGTTCTCCCCTGAGCTGGTCCTGGCCCCCCCGTAACGTTGCCGCTCATGGGAGGGGGCGGGCGGGCCAGGGGCGGCGGGATTCTGCCAGGCTGCGAGCGTCGCCGACGACTTGCCGCCGTCGCCGTCATCATCGGGAGGAGGAGGAGGAGGAGGAGGACGAACGCCGCAGCCTTTGGCTAAGCTTAGTCCAATGTGAGGAGGAGGAGGAGGAGGAGGAGGAGGAGGAGGAGGAGGAGGAGGAGGAGGAGGTCCAGTGGAAACCCAAGAGTCATCAACGATGTTGGCATTAACCCTCTCTCCAAGCTCCCTCTTCGTAGGCCCTTACAACGGTTCATTTCCATGGAGGTAACTGCCTCGTCGGAAAAGAACGCTTTGAAGATCCTGAAGCGTGCCAAACCATTGTTCTCGGGATTTTAACGGCACGTATCAACCTGTCTGCTGCGCCTTGACGATCCAGAATCGTGCCAGAAAGCTATTGTTGGGATTTCAACACATCAGCGTTATTTTTTGCGCCCGCATAATCCTGAATCCTTCCAAAACGCCATGTCTGGTACGTTGATCATGGGAATCCGTGAAACTCTTGCAAAGTTTAACACGTAATGTGCGCGGCGCTAAAGCGAGAGCCACATTTTGAAAACCACCCGCCCTCAATCAGTGACACCCTTGCAAATGCTGCAAACGAATGTACGCGGCGCTCAGGCGAGAGCCGCATTTTGAAAACCACCCGCCCTCAATCCGTGAAGCTCATGCAAATTTGTAAAGCGAATGTGCGCGGCGCTAAGGCGAGAAGCACATTTTGAAAACCACCCGCCTTCAATCAGTGAAACTCTTGCAAATGCTTTTTTTTTAAAAAAAAACGAGTGCGCGCGGCGCTAAGGCGAGAGCCACATTTTGAAAACCACCCGCCCTCAATCCATGAAGCTCTTGCAAATGTTTAAAGCGAATCTGCGCGGCGCTAAAGCAATAACCACTTTTTGACAACCACCCGCCCTCAATGGTTGTGCGCGACGCTAAGGCGATAGCGACATTTTCAAAAAGACCTGCCCTCCATTTGTGTGAAAGAGTTGACACTTTTTAAGCTTCGGAGTCATACGTGGCGAGGAGGTCTCAAGCGAAACGCTGGCCTCGGGGTGCGACAGGGAGGAGTTATCTGTAAGGAGAAGGAATGGAGGAAAGGAATGGAGGAGGAGGAGCAGCAGCAGCAGGAGGAGCAGGAGGAGGAGGAGGAGGAGGAGATGGCGGCGTCTGCATGACTCTTTCCTTTCGCATTCTTGCGCCTTCAGTTCACATTCCACAGAAGGAGGAACAGGAGGAGGAGGAGGAGGAGGAGGAGGAAAAAGAGGAGGTGGAGGAGGAGGAGGAGGAGGAGGTGGAGGAGGAGGAGGAGGAGGAGGAGGAGGAGGAGGAGGAGGGGGCGGAGAAGTGGACGGCGCTGACCAGAGGGACCCGCCGGCGTCGCTGCTCTTCGCCTGCGGGGCCCGGCCCGGCCCCAGGGAGCTGCGGGGAGGCGCCGAGGGCGGCCGCTGAGGCGCCGTGGGCGGCCGCTGAGGCGCAGGGGCCGCCAGCCGCTGACGTCCACGTCCTGACCTATACCTCGACGACGTCATCGTGCTGACGCCGGCGGGGCCCGCCAGCACCGTAGTCAGGGGTCACGTTCGGTGGGGATAGGCAGAGGGGGGGACGCATCGACCCGCAATCGCCCATGAATCGCCGATAGGGCCCGATAGCTCCAACCCGCCCAGCGACGTGCGGACTCACTATCGAGGGCCTAGGGCCGATCTATCGGCGATGTATCGCAGATTCCAGGTCGATATTTCCCTCACTCTGCCAGGCCTCCCCTATCGTGGCCCTCCTGGTGGAGGAAACCGCGCAGGAGGCGGTCGGCGCTCTTGGGCCCGAGCTGCAGCCGCAGAGGACGCAGGTGTGGTCCGCGCGGGGCGCCTACGCCGAAACGGGCTGGAGGCGCGCTGGCGCCGAGGCGGGCCATCCCACGTTGCTGGGCCTGCGCGGGGACTGCCCCCAGCTGCACGCGGACGTGACAGTCCGCTACGGCGTCCCTGGGCAGGTGCGGGCTCTGGCGGCGGCCGCGGACGGCGACTTGGCCGTGCACGCTGGCGCGGAAGCCGACAAGCGGCGCCGGTACCCCGCGCGCCTGGCGCCGTGGCCGCTCCTCCCGCTGGCGCTTGAGACAGGTCGCCACGGGACGGCATCGGTCCGACACCTGCGCCGGCTCGCAAGAGACCAGGCGCAGGAGCACCGGCACGGGCCAGCCGCGGAGGCTGCCGCCAGCGCTCTGGCGCGGCGCTGGGGCGCGGAGCTCAGCCTCGCGCTCCGCCGAGCCTTTGCGCGGCAGCTGCGCACCGCTGTCAGCGGCGGGACGGCTGCCGAGGCGGCGGGCCCGCTGGCGGCTGACCGGCTAGGCAGCTGGGAGGGAAGTCTCTTCGCAAGGGGTGGGCAGCTGGGGCTCGTCGCGCTGCTCTACATGATCCTCGCGTTTGGCAAGGTGATTAGAGGGTGGCCTGCGGTGTGGCCGCCACTCCCAGGAGGAGGAGGACGATGAACAAGAACAGGAGCAGCAACAGCGCGAGGAACAGGAGCATGGTATCCTACGTAGTGGTTTGAGAAGGCTGCGCATTTTCGGCAGCACCCCTGCTTGAAGCCGAATGAGGCACTCGTGTCTTTGGGAGGGCTAGTTTCTGTGTGTGTGTTGTTTTGACAGATCACGCATCGGCGAAGCCACATACTTCACAAACCAATGAGGAGGAGGAGGAGGAGGAGGAGCAGGAGGAGAAGGAGGAGGAGGAGGAGGAGGAGCAGGAGCACGAGCATGAGCAGGATCAGGAAGATCGTTTCCTTCGCTTTGGTCCCCGAGCGGCCCTGCGCGCATCCGGACCCCAGCTGGGGCCAAAACGGGCGCCGCTGCCCCGTGGCTGATCATCGAGCATCTCCGGGGCTAGAAGAAGGTGCGGCACACGGGGGGAGGAGCAGGAGGATACGGTAGGTTCGTGCAGCGTTGGCGCGCCAGCGAGGCCGACGGAGGTGTTCAAGTTTTTGTGAATTCTGCGGAGCGGAAGCACCGAGGAACACGGTAACGCCGTTGGACCCGACGGAGTTCAATTTGGAACGATCGACTCGCTGTCCAAAACTTGTTCGTGGCCAGCGCCGCACGAACCTATAGTACGGACCATCAGGAGGAGAAGGAAGAGGAGGAGTGAAGCCCAAGTGAAAGGATGGGGATAGACACGGAAGGAGACAGAAGGGGGGGTGAGAGCGAGGAACGAGGAGTGAGGGGAGTGCAAGCAAGAGACAGGGCGCTGAACGGGAGACGGGAAGAGCAGGGCCCAGACATCAGCAAACGGTGCCAGCGTAGCCCCTTGACGGGGCAGCACGCAAGCTCTATCGGAATGCACGCCGCGCCTCGTCGATCCCCTCCGGGCAGGACGGGGGGCTCCCCAGACACCCTGCGTCGTTTTTCTGTTCCGCGCGCGGTGCCTGGAGACAGCGAGTGGCGTCGGGCAGGCTGCCAGGGATGTCGTTCCACAGCCACAGCCTCTCGGAGGTGGAGGCGTTCCGCGCCCAGGTGCCCTGCCCCCTCTCCCCTCGGCGCTCCTCGCCACGTCTCCCGAGGGGCATCGCAGCCCTCGTGTTGTCGGCGCTTCCGACCGCAGGCCGCCGCCAGCGCGGCCACACCCTCGGCCGAGACCCTCCGGCCGACGGTGGTCGAGAGGCGACGTCTGCCCTTGCAGGCGGGTGCCAGGTGGAGTGCGGAGATGGCCGCGGTGGCGGAGAGGCTGGCCTGGGCGATGGAGGTATGCATGTATCAGGCCAGCCACAACTGGGGGAGCTGTGGTCCTTTACCCCCTGGGGGACCCATCGATTTCGACACCCCTCTCGAAAGATCGTTGATGCGATGGGTTCCCCCAGGGGGGTAAGGACCACAGCTCCCCAAGTTGTGGCTGGTCGCTGTGTGTATGGATGTCTGCTTGTCCGTGCTATGTGTGCATGTGCATCCGCCTCTGGGCCTTCGGCACGCAGAGGAGTGCCCCAAGGCTCGTATGGTCATTCGCCGTAGAGGGTTTGCAGGATTCTGAGGGGCTCCGCTCCCTATGTGCCAAAAACTCCCAGACTGTCCGAAGACGGCCCCACAGACCTCCAAGACGGCCCTGCAGTGTCCAGGGAGGGACCCACGACTGCCTGGAGATGCCTCCAAGACGACCTCAGAAGGCCGAGAGGTCCCCCAGAGGCCTCCAAGAGGCCCCCAAGGGGCCCCGGGAGGCCAGCAAGAGGCCGAGGCCCCTCAGAGGCCCTCAGGAGGCTCCGAGAAAGCCCCCAAGAAGCCACAAGACGGCCTCAAGAGGCCTCCTCTTTCTCCTCCTGGCCTCCTCCTCCTCCTCCTCCTTCACCTCCTCCGTTTCCTCCTCCTCCTCCTCCTTCACGTCCTTCTTCCCCTGCCTCTCATCCTCCTTCCTCTTAGTTTCACTGGGGGTCCCCCTAAGGGGAGCCACAACGGCTGGGGTAAAGGTAAACCATGGTCCAATAGCTTTGTCAGACATTGGCCCAGTGTTTGGCCGCATGTGCGCTTCCAAAAGGCAGGGGTTGGCGGTGGTTCCCCAGAGGCGTCTTCGACACAGATGCACACATTCTATATTTGTATGCGCAAGGTTTTAGCGGCTCGTTTCGCTTCGCCTTAAACATCTTGATGGCGCCAGAGAGGCCCGCGGCGACGGGTACACGCCACTACCGCGATATGTGTCAGCTATAGAGTTCATGGGTCACGCGAGGCTGTCAGGACCAATGGGGGTCAGAGGGCTCAAAGGCCTCTCCGCCGCCATCGAGGCTCAGAGGCTGGTGCTGCAATTGGGAAGAGGGGTAATTCGGCCAGCGCGGATCATGGGTATCATAAGGTTCCGAGGGCCCGCAGGCGTGATTGGGTGGATAGGGTTCCTCGGGCTGATGAGCTCATTAGGGTTCTAGGGCTCGTAGGGGTTCTGGCCAAACGTCAAGGACTCTTGGGCCTGACAGCGGTTGTGCTAATCGAGCTTATGAGTCCCATCAGGCTCATAGGGGTCATTGTGCCAAAAGAGCTCATAAGGCTCACAGGGTTCATAACGGGTCGTGGGGATCATAGGGCTCACACGGCCCATGGGGCTCATACGGCGGAGGCTCCTTGGGGCCATGCGGCTCGCGGGGCCCGCGGGGCTGGCAGAGCTCAAAGAGCCCGCAGGGCTTCTGAGGCTCAGAGGCGACATGGGGCTTACAGGGCTCACTGGGCTCGTAGGGCGCATGAGGCTCGTCGGGCGAGGGCTTATAAGGTCATCTCACAGGCGACATTAGGGCTCAGAGGACCCACAAAGCTCATAAGCTCATAGGGCCCATGGAGCCCATCGGGGTCATGCGGCTCGCGCGACCCATCAGGGTCATAGGGCTGATTGGGTTCGGAGGGGCCATCGGGCGCATACGGCTCAGAGGGCTCGCAGGGGCCGTAGGCCTCCTGGGGCTCATAGTGGCTGTCAGGGCTCATAGGGGCCATATGGCTCGCGGCACTGAGGACGTCGATGTGTTCACAGGGCTCGACTGGCCGGCCCATCGAGCTCACGTGAGCTAATGGTGCCGCGTCCACTGGACGCTTGGGAGGAAGGTCGTTCGTGAGCTCCTAGGGGAGGTGTCTGGGGGGGGCCCTGGAGGGCACACAGGGCTCATGAGGCTCAGTAGGTTCGTAGCGGTGATATGGCTCGGAGGGATCGAAGGAGATATTGAGTTCATCAGGATCATGGGACTTGTAGGGGTATCAGGAACATGAGGTCGTGAGGAGTATCAGGTCATAGAGCGCATTGGCCTCGTGAGCCTATGTGGTGCATAGAGGTCGTAGTGCTCATGGGGCAAATGAGGCTGAGGCTGAGGCTGAGGGTTCCGCCGAGCGCGCACAGGGGTCGTAGGATTTGTAGGGTTCTAGGGCTCGAAGGGCTCGTAATGGTCTTCGGGCTCATAGGTGCTGTAGGGCTCATGGGCTCATTGGACTTATTGGCTCGTAGGGCTGATCAGGATCATAGGGCTCACAGGGGAGGGTATCGGGGGCCTCTTGGAGGGCGTGTAGGGTTCATCGGCCTTACAGGGCTCACGGGGCTCGTATGACTCATTGGGTTCGTAGGTGTCGTAGGGCTCATGGGGGTCATCAGGATCATGGGATTCGCAGAGTATGTGAGGTCCACGGAGTCGGTCGGAACACAGGGTCATATGGCGCATCAAGCTCATAAGGGGTCATAGAGCCTGTGGGGCTTCCAGGAGGGGGCTCTTGAGAGCGTTTTGGGAGTTTTGAGGGCGTCATGGGGTCCTCTTGGGAGCTTCTGGGTGCCTTGATGGCGTCTTAGGGGCTCCGTGGCAGTGTCCAGGACCACCTTTGAGGTAGGGCTCGAAATGTCAGTTCGGTTTGGACTTCTTTGGGACATCTTGAGGCGTCTTGCGGAGCCTTTTGGCCAGTCTGGAGGCCTACTTGGGCCGTTCTGGGGCCTACGGAGGAGCCGCTATCGTCCTGGAACAAGCGAGCACGTTGAAGTGTTTAAAAGAATATGCGACAATCTATCGATTTTGACATCCGGAGCCCTCTTGGGGGGCATCTTGGGGCTCTCGTGGGACAGAACGTCCGAATCCGAAGCCAGAACCCTAACACCGTAGCATATACGTTAACCTTGATATCCCAACCCGAGCTCAACCACCGAAGCCCGAACACCCCAACCCTAGCACCCTGACCCGGACATCCGAATCCTAACACCCAAACCTGAAACCATAATTCCGCAATACTAGCACCCGAACGCCTCATCCGAACACCCGAGCAAGTGTACTTAGAGGCTTCTGGCAAGCCTCCTGGAGGCCTGGGACATGCACGTGTTTGACCTCTCTGGGCCTTCGTCCGGGTCCTCTTGGGGCCATTTTGATCAGTTTTCCAGCCCTCTTGAGCCGTCCTGGGGCCCTTCTGGACTGTCTTGCCAGGCTTTGGTCGTCTTGGGTGGGGCTCTACTGGAGGCCCCCCACTGGGGGGCCCTCCTGGGCCCTCTTGGGCGGTCTTGGAGCCTTCTGAGGCCGCCTATGAACCCTCTTGGGCCGTCTAAAGGCGTTTTGGGGGGCCTCTTGGGCAGTCTCGTTGCGATCTCGCAGGCCGTCAAAGCCATCTTGGGCCGATCTTTGCCCGAAAAGACGGGAACCCCAACATCTTTCAAACAATTGAATGCCATCAGTGTTATTTTGCCTCTTCAAGCCCTCTCGGCGGTCCTCGTGGGAGCCTATTGCGGCGCCTGGGGAAGCCTCGCGAGCCGTCTTGGGGCCGTCTTGAGCCGCCTCGGGGCCTCTTGGGCACTCTCGGGCCTTTCTTGGGCCGTTCTTGACGCGGTCTTGGCCTGTTACGCTGCTCCGTGGGGCCGTCCAGGAAGCGGTCTTGGGCCCGCTCGGGCGGCGGGAGCGCCCAGGGCCGACTTTACATACGGGGGGGTCCCTATACGAATATTCGAAGATGTGTCTGTATGTGTAGATCGATAGAGCTTTAAGTCTATACTAGTGTGGATCCGTTGATTCAATCCACCAAGTTGGGCGGATCGAAGCATGGTGGCGCGCGCTGGGTGGTGCGACGCTGCCAGCTACTGCTGTAGATCCCTTGAAGCTTGTTCTACTGCTGTTCCCCCACCGAAGGCGCCCAATGCATCGAAACGGGGGCCGAAGTCTTCGAGCTTCGCAAGAGGCAGAAATTCAGGAGTCCAGGCCTGAGCAAAGTTGGAAGATTCGCGCCGGGATCGCGGCGGACGCGGGAGCGGGTTCGGGCAAACGCGGCGCCGTCTCGGGCCGCGTCGGAGGCGTCGGAACAGCGTCGCGGCAAAGTAGGGAGCGCAGCGGGGCAGCCCCCGGAGGCCACAATCCTCGTGAGGTGTGTCAAAAAAATGCCCTCCCAGGGACCGAAAAAGAAGCCTCTGACACATCGCGACCCCCTCCCCAAAAACCTCAATGAGGGGAGGGGGAGGGTTCCACTCCCCGAAGGGAAGAGGGGTCGTGGAAGAGGGAAGAGACCCTCCTTAGACCAACTGTCGCCCAAAGGGCTGGTAGGATTTCTAACACCCCCTCCTTGTTTCGTCGAAGAACGGCCAGAAGGTCCCCAAGAGGCTTTCAAGGTTGTCCAAGAGGCTCCAGGACAGCCCAAGAGCTCTCCAAGACGCTCAAGATGCCCCGAGACGGCCCCAGAGACCCCCAAAACGCTCCAAGAGGGGTTCAAGATGACCCCCAAGAGGGCCGCCAGAGGCCAAGCTGGTATTTCCAGTGGCCTTTGACAGATTCTGGCGTTCTAGCCTTTTCGGGGCCCCTCCGTCCCAAGGCGGCCCCAGATGCCCCCGAGATCGCACCAAGACGGCCCGTAGCCATCGTGGCCCAGGCCGTGGCATGGCCCAGCCCCGGAGGAGGCCCCTCCTGCAGGGAGGGGGGCGAGGCGCACTGGAGCAGCAAGCGGGGCCTGCCGCGCGCCCCGCCGCAGAGCCTCGAGGCCGGGCTCGGGCCGGGCATGGGGGAGCGCCGCGCGGCGCCGCGGGGCCCGTGCCTCGCGGGCCGCGGC